GCTATGGGTGTAGCTAGTTATTCATGTAGTCATGGTTCCATTCAGGAACATATTTTATTATTTAAGTCAATAATAACAAACTAGCTGACCTGATACGAATGAGTGGTTTACATGTGGTTGGTACAGTGACTATGGCGTGGGTCCTGTAGCAAATAGGCAGTCATGTGTGTAGTTAGAGTCTCACAATGTGTTTGTGTGAGTAACCTGAAGGCACTCAGACGTTCATTTTGTATTTCCCGACCCTAGATTGCTTTATGAGGCTGGTGTGAAAAATTGTGCACTGGGGGTATGTGTTTACACGTTGTGGCTGAAGTAGATCTTGGTAAGGCTTTTGTATAATAAAGTTGTTGGTTTTTTTTTCTTTTAGTCATGTTGGAGTTCCTCTAATGTCATGATTACTTCTCCCTTGAGGAGATTCTTTTCTTTACCTGAGGCTTCAGCTTGAGTTGTTTTCCCTGAGAGCATCCAGTTTAGCTTGAAGCTCTGGTTCTTACACAGTTTATTTGTCCTTGGGCATTTTAGTCGATCTTAGAGGTAAGAGTTGGTAGTCCAGGAACAAAGCAACGAAGCATGCAAGGTCAGGTACCGCAGTGAGGAGAGAGAGAACTGACCTGACACCAGCAGCACGACTTTTCATCCATGCCTTTTAGTTTCTCCATTGTTGATGATTTTACTCAGAAGGGAAACTGACTAAGCTGCCTCTTGAGTTTTTTATCCTTCCTTTACACTTTTCTGTAAGATGTAAGCCACATCTGGTTCTTACTAGTCATTTGATGTGCACTTCTAACAGAGAAGATGCTTTATTTTTTGGAGCCTTTCCTCTGCTTTGTTATTCATACTGTGATACTTCTCTTAAATACTTTCCAAGATGTGCAATCAAGGCGTTTATCAAAAGCAAAACACAACCACCTACTTTATCTAAATCTTGTCAGCTGTTGAACAAGAATGTTGGGGCTGAATGATTATGAGTTTTTATTAACATTAATAGGTTTATAAAGGATTAAAACAGCTAGATGAGTTCAATTTTTAAAGTAGTTTAAATATGGAGATGATGTGATCCAGTAGATGTAAAATCAGAAGAAGAGGCGCTTTTGTTAAATAAAAAAAATAATAAAAGAACCACCCACCCCTTCTCCTAAACACCAGACTACGGTATTGGAGTATGGGTATGTTAGATATTAAACGGCCTAATTATTCTTAAAGTTTTGCAGAATAAGTTAAGGCTTTGCTGCATGCACCATTTTCAGCGAGAGTGTGGGTTTGCAGCAGCAGAAGCAGGCATCACTTCCAGGTGTTAGTAGGAAACACCAGAGGGGCACCTTGCTTGCCTGTAGGTACCAATGTTTCAGAGATAAATGCTGATTCTGATTTGGGGTTGCTTTGGGATCTCACTAGCTGGTTTATGTGATGCTTGTCTTTGTTTTTCAAGGGCCAGGGAATGGTATATGCAAGTCAGGTTTATTTTTTTCTTTCATTAAAATCCTTTTTCTTTAGAAAGAATAGCCACAAAGTCATGTTTGTTCAGACTCACTGGAAAAAAAATCTTTCTTGCCCCCTAGTACCAAAATTCTTTCTCCTGAACCACATCCTCTTTGTCCTGTTCTGAGCCAAACTCAGGACTGCTTCTCTCCATCTTCATCTGTTGCACACAGTCTGCTAGTAATTTGTTTTCTGTTTTATTTAGTTAGTTCTTGCTCAGGTCTTGCCACATGGTCAGCAGCCTTTCCAGTTTTTGGTTATCTTCGCATAAAAGCGTCTTGATTACTTAGAATTTTTTTGATGTACTCTTTGACACTTACGTTAAGCGATTTATTATGGATATATTAAATATATATAAAATATACGTGGTGTGTTTTGCATGCATGTAAACTTTAATCAGGTATATCCCAGGATGCTTAGTGTCTGCCACAAATGTTTTCTATGTGAGTTTGTCTTGTAGCTTTAGGAATATACAGTATTGTGATATTGCCTTGTGCCTTTGTACTGGTGATGTTTAGGGTCCATTTTCCTTTTTGTAGCAATCATTTGGACAATCATCCATTCCACTCACGTCCCGGTATTATCTGGACAGTTGCTGGCTGTGCCTGCCTGTGCCAAAAATGTCTTAATTTGGGTAGTTGAGTTTACCTTTTTAATCTTGGCAAAATAGTAGTTTGAGCATAAAAGTGGCAAGACTGCCAGGTGACTTCAAGGTTTATTTTTTGGGCTAGCTAGGATAAATTTTCTACCTGCAGACATTCGTTCGAGGTGTGTAAGCATCATCTCAGTGGGTTGTCAGAAGCTTTATTCACAGTTGTGGGGGAGCGTAGGGATTGAGCATCCAAAAGAAATATAATGGCTACTTATAGTGGAGAAACAAATACAGTTTTAGGGGTTTCTTTTGTTGAGCATCTGGGAAATAACGAGGGAAGTGAAATCAATACAGGTGGTGATAAAACATGAATTGCTGCATTTCAGTGCACAGGGCATGTTGGTACTAAGACATAATCTTGCCAGAAGACGCAGGTGAATGGATTCATTTAAAATGAGGAGAAACTGTTTCTGCTCAGTAGTTGGATGTAGGGGGTTTTTGGAACATTACTACATGAAATTGTCATCTCTCCTTTATTTTTTTTTTCAGTGTGTTGTTTATTTTATGGTTTTTGGAAAGTCTCCTGGTTAACGTGCTGGGTGTATTCCCAAACACTCAAAGAAATATTAAACATATGCAGCAAAGAGTCACAGTTGAAAAGTAGGGATGAGGGAGGCGCTGCTTTTTTTTTTTTTTTTTTTTTTTTTTCAGGGATGAAAGGGAAAGAAAAAAGTATATAAGAGCTGAACTTATAAGTCTAGATGCATTTATCCCACTTGGGTAGGATTAGGTGGCACAAGTAGCTGGGTAACTGTTATTTCAAAGGGGAGCTACAGGTCACCCGACCTGCAACGCTGAGGAGGAGAAGGGGCACCAGCCTTTGTATGAGGTTCAGCCATAAACAACTGAGAGCAATAACTTTGTAAACTGTTGCCACCTAATAAACAGATCTGTCTACACTCTGAAGTAGCTCCCGTAAGACCTTTGTAACTGATTTTTGGTATTTTCAAGTAAATGTTTATACATGTCTACTCTGTGGGTTATGTTATTGATTACAATGTGACGGTATTGTTGAGAAGGATTTATTCTTCTAAACAAATAAAACTGAATAATCTCCCCCATTTTACCTAGTCAATATCATTACAAAGTAGACTTCTCCAGGAATTAAGTGGGTTTTTTCCATTTAGGAGACTTAAAAATGCCCCTTTTAAAAAAAATGGTGTAAATGTATAAAGATATGTCTGGTAGGTAGGCTTACAGGTGAAGATTTTCACCTACTGGATATGATTCAGGGCAACTGGCTTTAGGTGGCCCTGCTTGAGCAGAGGGGTTGGACCAGTCGACCCTCCAAAAGTCCCTGCCAACCTCAACCATTCTGCAGTTCTGGTATTAATATATAGATAAATAGTGCTAAAATTTGTAACAGCTGGTGTGAAGAATATCTGTAACCTGGTTTGAAAGCTTCAGCTCTAGACCTTCTTCATAGGGTAACATAAAGATATGATTTAGCTTGAGAGATTTCCTTCAGGAACTTAATTCACTGATAAAGTCAGAATTTAGTAGCAGACAAATAGCATTTTCATAAGAATATTGAAGAAGCCTCTAGATGGCTGAATATTCTGTGTATTTTGGAAACACCTCCGGAGTAGTGACTGAAATGTGAGAATGACCTGAAATAAAGGGTTGCAGATGTATTATTTAAGCTTACAGATTTACTGCAGAGTTTTACTGTTATATTTTGATATTAATGAATGATTTAATACTGGGAGTAATTGCAAATTTGGGCATCCATCTAGATCCTGATTTCTCTTTTTTTTCCCACACATGTTTTTCTCTGCTGTATCTGGCTTTATCTACAGCTTCACTTTAAAAGCGTTGAGTTCAGCTGCAGCTGTAATGTTCAGCACTTCTGCAAGTTGGATCCAAAGATCTCAACAGAAGCACTAGAAAATGAGAAATATGTAAATAATGGCCAAATGTGAAAAAGCGTTGAAGGAACTCATCCACTGCTTTTTAGTGATCCTGTGATGTCAAATGTGGAATCACTTGCTCCAGTTACCTCTGCACGCAGCAGTGGTAGAAGGAGCCTCCAGAAGGGAAATAATTGCTTTAAATAGTCATGAAAACGTCTACAGCTTTGTGAGAAGAAAGAAGTCACTCCATATCGCACTGTGAATGTCAGAGAAACTTTGTGATTATTTTGTTGTTTTTTTCTTTTTTTTTTTTTTTATTTCCACAAGGCATAGCTATGCCTAAATGAAAGACACTGAAGTCTTCCATCTAGTGATGCGTATTTTTATTCTTATTTGCCTAATTTCTGTAAAGTTAATTGTTGCTTTTGTGTGGTTTGGGGTTTTTTTTGACCTTTTTTTTTTTTTTTTAAGTTCTCTTTTGTCTAGAGGTAGTGGTTGAAATCTGGAGTGTACTGAAAACAAATAAATGTGCATTTTTTTCATGGTCTCGTTGTCTTAGTTTTCCTGAAGTCTTTCATTAGCGCTCTTCCAAATAAATCTCCAGCCTGGTGTTAAAATAGTTGAAGGAGTGAATTTTATTTCATTACTTGTGATAGGGGAAGAAAAATGCACTTCTTATGAACTGTTGATTTACTGGCTTTTCATTGCTTTTCTTCCTGATAAAGCACTGAAGGAAGTGTGGTATCAGAGCATTTACTACTGTAATGTCAAAGCATGGCCGTGACTTAAATAGAGCTGACACAGAATAGCTTTCCAGACATAAAGAATGGTAACAGTCAGATATTCTGATTAGTATAAAAACACTGCATGTATTTTACCAAAAGGTTTATTTAAAAATAGTAAATAGATCCTCTTTGAGAGCCTGGTGGGGATGTTAGTGATAATAATTCTGTAATAATGATAATAACGTACAGAGCTAAGTTGTTAACTCTGTGTTTTTATTTTTCTTTTCACAGCCCACATACTGGGTGGCAAAATTACCAGCCTGATGTGCCCCGGATTCCCACTGCTTGCATCTCTGTGGAAGATGCTGAAATGATGTCACGGATGTCTTTGCGGGGCACTAAGATTGTTGTGCACCTGAAGATGGGGGCCAAGACCTATCCAGATTCTCTTTCCTTTAACACCGTGGCAGAGATAGTCGGAAGCAAGTACCCAGACCAGGTGAGTGAGAATATACAAAAAGAAACTTTTGTTCTTTGAAAATATGAAAAAACAAACCCAAAGAACAGCACTTCCTAAGAAATCCCTCAAACAAGTAATTCTTATTCACCTACTCTTCTACATTTCAGACATCTCAACTTTTCAGTCCTTTTCAGGTGGCAGGTTTGAAACCACCAGGCTCAGTGCTAACGTACTAGGTTATATTTTAGAAAACTATAAGAATAACTGTGTTCTAAGAACAGGAAATTCAACTAAACTATACACAATTTAACCTCCTCCTTTTTGTTTCCCTGGCTTAAAGCTCACTTTAAATATTACCATCTGCACAGGGTTGCAAAGAAGCGTGTATGTAAGCAGCAGGGTAATCCTAGCACTGTAACAAATACAGTTATTGTTTTAAATAGCAAGTAGTAAGTTAAGGTTCCCATGATGATTTGTGCTTGGGGTTTGCTTATTGTTCTGTTAATAATCTTCAAGTGATTTCTTGATCAGGCAAATAAGCCAAGTTCTGCTGTCTGGAAATAAAATTGTTTGCCCGAGTTTTTCCTCAAACATAAAAATGAATGCAGGATGTCAGTTTAACTTTTTTGAAGATGTTTTTTCTTGTGCCAATCATTGCTGCATTTAGCAGGAGTTTTATGTGTATTCGTTTGGAGGAATAAACCATCTGTGCTAAAAAGTATCTGCAAATTCTGTTTGAACACTAGTTAATCCTAAATTGTTGGTTTCCATTTTAAGACTTTTTTTCTTGTTTTTGTTTTTGTTTTTTTCCAACTTCTTAGCCAAAAATCATACAAATTAAATTAGTGGTGCTGAAGGATTTGTGCCTGGTATGAGGTCTTCAATGTCAGCTTACAACATGGAATGAATTTTCTGGCAGTGTGGTGTATTGTGAAAATGCTGATGCAGCCTCAATTACAGCAGCACTCGAAATTGCTGCTAGGGTACATCTACTGAGCCAAGGTCCTTTTTTAAACATTGTAGTTTTCTAACTTCAATGGAAAATAAGAATTACTGTCTCTGTCCTTTAAACCAGGCATAGCTCTTAAAAGATTTGATTTTTTCTGAGATAGTAGGTCTGGAGCTCTGGCTTGTGGTGTCTGGAGGTCCTCAGTGTTAGCATCAATGTATGGTTTCAGAAGCTTGATCACTGGGCAGGGAAAAAGGAACCACCCTCTTGGTTGGTTGGTTTACATACCATCACCTATGAGTCTAGCTTCATGACACACAAGTTAAAGACAATGCCCCGACTTCTAAATTAGGGTTCAGTTGATTTAATTTAATGTCATATGAATTTTTCGCTGAAATTTTTTTCCTGAATTGTTTGATGCATTTCAAAATTCAGCATTTGAGGTTTTGAAGCGTACAAATGTAACCTTCAAAGATGTGTTAGGATGCTTCCCTGGTACTTGATTTTCTCTTTGCTGTCCTGCTCTGTTTCTTTAAGTAATGAAACAGATTGGGATCTCTTCACTTCTTCCACTGAGCAGCTCAGTTTTTTGGAACACTGGGTAAAGACTTATTTACAAACCCCCTGCTGATGTTAATGGGAGTGGTAGTGGACACACTTTGAAAATGTAACCAAGAAACAGAAAAATAAAACAAGTGAATGTTTAGGTTTTTTAGTACTCAGTTCCTCTTGGAGCCTTAACGGGTGCTTTGCCATGCTCATTCCACTGCGTTACTCCGGTAAAAATGGGAACCATCTAGCTATTTAGGCAATAAAATACATTGCAAACCCAAACTCTTACAATGCCTTTTATGCCAAAGTGTTTCAAAATGCAGTACAAACCCAGGGGAATAGAAAGGTGCCATTTCCATGGGCCAGAATTTCAGCTTAAGTATTGAATTGAAACAAAAGCAAATCTGGATCTCTGAACTCTGGGTGAGAAATCAGCAGCAGGTGGTATCGCTCGTACAAAGCTCTAAAGCAAAACAGTTTGAAATTAGGCTGAAGCCTGTGAAACGTAACTGGTCACAGGTATTGCAGCAAATTATAACTTTAAAAAGTGCAAACTAATTGAAAGTGAGAGTCGCTGTAGGATACTGAAGAAGTCTGGTGAGAAGTGATACAGTTGTAGATGTAACTGCACGTTGGGCAGGTTGTGTTCATCTATATGTTGACCAGAATTTAATATACTGCTTGATATAGAAATAATTAATTAATTTCTCCTTGAGATTTTATTATGTTTATTAAAAATAATCACCAAGAACCGAAATAATATTTTTCAGAAAATTTTGTCTGTTACAAGCCATGTATTAAAATCCTTAAAAGGGGAAAACAATCTATTGGTTTTCCTTACCTGTTTCTTTTTGCTTTATTTCACTCTTGCAGCATGTCCAGTTCAGTCTCTCATTTTTAAGTAATTTTTCCAAGTGTTTTGTGTGGATTCTTGCATATAGCAATGGAGGGACAAAAAGTAAAAATATAAAAATGCTAAGGAAAACAGAAAAAAAAAGGTAGTTTAAGTACTTCTGACATGTTTTCCTAAAAGTTAGCTTTATTTTAGACATAGTGTTCGTAAAATCTTCTAATAGATGCTTTGTTTTGCTGTTAAAAGAAATGTTTTGTATCATCAGAACTGATATTGAGAATTTTCAAACTTGCAAACCTGTGTTTAGGCACCTGTGCTTAACTTCAACATGTTTACATTGCTAAATACCTTAAAGCAATAAAATAAATGTAATTACTGCTTTGTGAAGCAACAAGCTCTTAGGAATGCCTTCATCTTCAGAAGTGATGATGTGACGTGGGTGCAGATGTCCTGTTGCTTTTTGAGGGAGCACTGTACCCAAGCCATGCTGGTACTCTTGAAAAGTTAATCCACGGGTACTTCAGGTTTCTGTTCTGATTTCACCTTTCTGTTCAGTAGCCAGTAGCAGTAAGCAAATGCTTTAGCATCAATTGCTCCCACTAAGAAAAATGTCTTTTAAAACCTACTGTAAGTTGCAATTTTGCACTACCAAGTTTTCAGGTGGCATAGAGAGAGTCCGAACAGAAAAAGGAAATGGATTTTGTCACGCTGTCAGTAAAGCTCAGTATCTCACCAGTGTCTCTGTTCTGTTTACTTTGTATTATCCCTTCTAAATTAGGGAAGGGCTGCTTTCCGCAGACAGGACCCTTGCTAACGTCAGAGCGGGTGTGACTGTGCATGTTCTGAGCAGAGACATCCACCATCCTCACTGTCAGTCCTGAGGTCCTCATTTAGTGCCTGCTGAGGCCAGAATCCCTCTAAGTGCCCAAAGGAGCTGAGCCTGGGACTGTAAGAGAGTCAGTTCCAGATCAAGCTTTTCTTCAGATAAACAGGTTGGAAGCAGTGAGACCGTTAAACATGCTATGACTTGATGCCCTGGCAGCTTTTCTGAGCTTGGGGTCACATTCTCAGGGTGCTTAGGACAGCAGCGAGAATGGAAAACCTGTGGGCTCTGTGACTTAAGCCTGTATGACTGCTGACAGTTGAGACAAAGAGCTTGTGAAAGGGAAAGGTTATGGTAGCAGAACCTGCAGAGGTCCAGGCTGTTGCAGGTTAGAGGCATTTGCAGTCCATGCATGACTTTTATCTTGGAGAAGGAGTTTGTGAAGCACACTGTTGAACTCGGGACAGTGCTGTTATAGAATCATAGAATCACAGAATGGTTTGGGTTGGAAAGGACCTTAAAGATCATCAAGTTCCAACCCCCTGCCATGGGCAGGGACACCCTCCACTAGCCCAGGTTGCTCAAAGCCCCGTCCAGCCTGGATGTTAGCATCCTTTTGTACTGTATTGTGTATTGGTAAGATGTTTTATTTAAACTATGTAAGTTGACACTGGAGACTGACTGACTGAGAAATTCTCAAGTTAACTAATGCGGTTTTCATTTGCAATTCAGGCAGAGCTGGCAGTAAAACATGTTTGTCTTCTCATTTTAATACAAATGTAACATGATTGGTCTTAAAGTGCAGAAGCAACCATTCCCATCTCTGGGGAAATGCTGTAAATAGTGGCTGTTTCTTGTTAGTCTGGCTTCAGTGTACCTAATATGCCAAACACAGAACCACAAAATACGTGATTAACTGACAAGGAATCAAAGAGGATAAAGATATAACTCTTCTTTCAATATCTTTCCACAGTGCATATTTCTTGGTGTGCAGTACTGTTTTACCTATTTTACAGTTACTAAGTGATGGGAAAACCTTTTCCTAAGTGCCCTGCAAAGTACATGAATTTAATTGTTTCTCATTATTCTGTGATCTGTCGTAAATACTGCAGAGCATAAACAGGAGGGCTCTGAAGTGTCTTTTTTGGAATCCTGGATAGCTGTTCCAGGAATTCACTCTACACTGCATTTTGCCTCCTGTTTTTATGGAGTACCATATCTACAAAATGTGCCATTTGAAAAGTGGCTCTGTTTTGAACTCCACAGGCATCAAAAGACCATTGAAGAATGTGTTGTAGCTCTGAGCCAAGTTTGGACAGCACTTTGAAAGTAGCAGTCCTAGGAATGACCTGAGAAACAGAGATGCTAAGGTAATAGGTTGTGAAGTTCTTTACCAATGTGTGATTGTTGTAACAGAACCTGTTCTACAAAGGAAATGGCAGCTTATTTACTTTTTCATTATTCTTCCTTTCCCTATTTAAAAAATCAGCCCTGTCTTAGAATTTGTGATACTGGGCAAAGCTCCAGGGAACAAGAGAACATGAAAACTGTCCAGGCTTCTGAGCCCGTTAGGCATTCATGCACAGAAGGAAAGAAATAATTTGTAGACCAAAAAAAAACCACCCCAGAAAAAAAAAAAACAAACTTCTCTGAATATGTGTAATACTCAGTACAGTGTTGTTTTATGGCCTGGCATCAATTCTACATATGTTAACAAAATGTCTATCCATTAGCCCTTTGATGTGGCTTCCAGATATCCGTATGCTCAAACTAAATCATGCATACAATAGAGCTTTGAGTAGAAACGGTTTGAGAGCCTGGTGCCATCATGTTATGGCTCCATTATCACATTTTCTCTGTGT